TATGCAATGGACTTTCAAACATGTAACTATATAAGGTGGTAGAGTTAGAAATTCTCTATGACACTAGAGGTCGGGATTAAAAAAAACTAAGTGATCGTTGGGCCATAAACGTTTTCAGAGTTTGCCATCGAGTGTACAAGCTCTATCAGAGTTCATAATAGTTGTAGTAAGCTTTTATTTTTCTAGGAGTAAAAAATTTGACATGACAACTAAAAAGGTGGAAAAAATATGGAGATTTTCGGTGTTTATCAATGGAGGATACATTGGATGTAATAAATTTTTTTTCTACAAATAAACGCAAGACAAAAAAATAAATATACAAAGTGATAGAAAATTTTAAGCTCTATGAGAACATTTAATTATTTGTTTTTTTAGAAAGCTATTTCTATAAGAATAATTGCTTTAAAAACCTAATTGAGGTCAAAGTGTCAAAAGCTAATCTTTGGGAATTTGACGCTCATGGTCCTTCCATTGCACTCGATTTACTTTTCTAGAGATAAATACAAAATACAACAAAAGTGCACAAAATAATAGAAAACGACGAACACTTTCAGACTAACATGCGGTGCAAAAATCTTTGCACAAATGTCAACCTATGTTAGACCATAATGCTTACTTCTAAACTAATCAAATTTTTGTTTGTTTGAGAGAGCAAAGTCTGAACTACAAATTTTGTATCAGACTTATTTTTTCAGAGCGAATTTACAAAGTAGGAGAAGGCAAAAACCAAACACCCCTAAAAAAGTTCTTGCAACTTCACTTTCGCGCAATATCATTTCCTATTATCTGGTCATTTTTTAATATCAGAAGCAAAATGAAAGCGCACGTTTAATGATGATTTTTGTAGTATAAAGAGTGCTCTTTCTAATGGTGTGTTCGAAGTTAAATTTAGTCCTAGTTTTCTCAAAAAAAATATAGCCTTTTCTGGATGACACTGTATAATTTGGTCTTTCTTACTATCTGACCATTTTGTAACAATCAAAGAAGGTTTTGAATTCTTTTTTTTCTGCTAAATTTCTAGAATCTGACGTATTTTAAACGAATAACACACAAGGATTTTAATTCATACATAGTTTCTGGATATTGTAATTGATCTCCTTCCAAATTTATAGTTCTTTCAAGAGACTCTATTTTACAAAAATTTCAATTTCCCATTTTTTTAATTCAAGAGTCAAAAGCTAATCTTGAAAAAATTTACCAAAGCTGATATCGATAGAACTTTTGATGTGCCATATTTTGGTGTATTTTTTGTTAGAATTCGACCTTTGTAACTCAAGATAATTGAGAAATAGAAACTTTTCAAGTCGCAAAAATGTTGCAAGAACTTTTTTAGAGGTGTTTGGTTTTTGCCTTCTCTTACTCTGTAGATTTGTTCTGAAAAAATAAGTCTGATATAAAATTTGTAGTTCAGACTTTGGTCTTTCCAACAAAAAAAAAATTTGATCAGTTTTGAAGTAAGCATTATGCTGTAACATAGGTTGACATTTGTGCAAAGACTTTTGCATCAAATGTTATATGTTTTTATGGTGACAGTTTATTTGAAAAAAGACTAACTATTTCTTCCCGGAGTATAGATGACTTTCTATAAAATTTAATTCTTGTCGTGATATTTTAATCCGTGACCAATTGATTTCATTACATTTTCAAAATAAACCGCTGATTCTTGCTGCATTTCTTTTCATTAAATGTTTTACATTCTAATTCTTCTCATTATTTCTACAAATATCAGCTACTTCTCAACCATCAATCGTACTTGATGAGGATAATATAAAAAATTGTCTTGATCGTACTTATGTATGTTCATCAACTTTAACTGAAAAATCTCTTGCTATCATTGTTGTTTTTTTATTGTTGAATGAATCTCAAATTCATTCCTATCGTACGACTGTAAGATTTCGATATACTTATTTCATGAATGATAAATAACAACAGTTAAATAATATTTGGAGGTTCTGTAAAGAATACAACATTGAACTCCAAGATAAACGTTCATTGTCATCTAATGCTCGATCTGGACGACAAGAAAATAATGAAGCATCATTATTCAATGAAGCTTCAAATAATGATGGTGGTATAACAGTAATATATAAACAGAATGACAATAAACAAATATCCAATCAGATTCAAATGTTACCATCTCAACCGATTTCAAAATCAGCCAAAATCTTGTTCGAGCTACTCGTCGCAAACGGCGGCGAAATAATAAACACAGTAACGAAAGCGAATCAAAGTTTTCGTTAACTCCCCCTCTATCTCCTCATCCAACAATGACTTGTCTTCACTTTGATTATTTTTCTTTAAAAGAAATATCAATTTTTTTTTCAGTCGAGTAGTTTTCTTTTCAATTTTGCTTCGCTATTAGGCTGCATTTTCACCATTGTTTTCAGAAAACTCAAGCATTTAAACATACATTTTCTATCGATGAGCATGTTTTATTATCAAACTTTCATAATCATATTTTCGTTTTTTCTAATCAATGGCTCATGTTTTCTCACAGAAAACTAAACTATTGAAAACAACTGCTTCTGATTAACAATAACAAAATGACGTCCAGCTCATCTTGATGAAATACCAAACCTGCTTTACATTCTACAAGAACAAAAAAAAACAACTTCCGTTTTTTGGGTAATCTTCATACTGTCCAGACAAAAGTCGTAATTTCCATAAAACAAAGTCGAAAGAAGTATATTCTTTTTTTAGGTTTTAGGCACATATTTCGCAAGCCTCTATAGTATGTAACACATAAGACAAAAACAATGAATATACTGTTCATATTTACTTTAAAATAATTCTCATATAATTGTAAGTTACGATTCAATAATTCAAAATGAATACTTTCTTTTCTTCTCTTTTACAATCCCATCTATCTAATCGAAATGGTAAGTTGCATTTAAGAATCAAGAAACTAATATTCACTTTTTTTTTTGTCTTAAATTCTTCAAATCAATTTCATCCAAATGGTAAGTTATATTCAAGAATCAAAATCTGATATTCATTTTTCTTCTGTTTTAGATTCTTCTAATGGATAGGGTGTGGGTGGGTGTGGATGTGGGTGTGTGGGTGTTAATGGTAGTGAAAAGAAGCCTCACATTCACAACCACACTCTTTTCGCAAAAAAACGAATATCTTTTTCGTTGTTTCTTAGTTTATGCTTTTTCGAACGCGCAACTCAAAATTCTTTATCTAGGCTCATCCTACATATTTAATTTTTTTTTGTTGGAAAGAGCATGCGAAGATGCAGTGCATGATAGAGTCCTTTTTTTAAATTAAGCCTTGTTTTTTACTATATATACAAACACGTATATAAATAGATGCCCATTTTTTGTCGCATTTTTTGAGTCATTGAACTTGTGATCCCTTTTGTGCACTTAAAAAGTAAGAATTAAAAAAAAAGGGCTCTATCATGCACTGCATCTTGACATATTCTTTCCAACAAAAAAAATATATAGAATGACCCTGGATAGAGAAATTAGGGATGCCAAATCAGCTATTTGTGACCCTTGCTTGGTCAACATCTCCCTCAAACGTCATAATACAGGGCTGAAAATTTTACCATAGCTTTTCCGCTCCAGGCCCAACAATATCCTGAAAATTTCATGCGATTTGAACGTACCTGGACTGAGATCGTTTTTTTTTTGGGAGGGGGGTGGAGGCTTAATCAAATTAAAATCTAATACTTCAATTCTAAAGACAGACTTAAATCAGACTAGGGGAGTGGATGTAGGTGTGCTTGTAGAGAAGACCAAATCAAGACCGACACCCACACACACATCGCACTCAACTTAGTGATATAAAGAATATTTCATCAAATTATTTGCAGTACGAGAAGATACTGCCCCATAAACGGGTAAAAAAACAGCTGATTTATTGAAAAATGAAAGTTAAAAACAAATGCACAGACAGGCTAGAATCTATAATTATTGTCTTAAGTATTGATCGAGTTCATTTGTGATCAGGAAATTTGCTGAACAAATCTCGAAGTTTGTCAATTGGAGCCGTAATAAAACCAACAACAGTTTCGAAAGGCGGCTTGTTAGGTACATTCGGGTGAGCACTATATAAGTGTGATAGATGAATATTAAACGAGAATGAAAGGGAACTACAAACCGAGTAGGAACGAACAGTTTGGTTCGCTCGTATGATTGAGCAATTGAGTCATTCTCTTCAGCAGTGATTACATTTTCGAGTTTAATATAATCGTTTTGTTCTTCACTGTAGTCGGAAAAGAAAGATAGAGAGAAAGATAGAAGAAGAATGAATGTATCTCTACCCTGCAATATGGTACATTAAGAAGTCCTTGGCTGTGTCGAATGTTACACGATAGTCTGGATCGGACACCGATGTTGTTTCGAGCTTTTTCAAGAGCTCTTTGATCTATTTAAAATGACAACAATGCTTGTGAGAAGAACAAAAGAATGCTTACTTTATGATGTTCAGCACGATCTTCATGGGCTATTCGCTTTCCCTCATCACCCAAATGCTTTTCAATAGCTGGATAGACAACAAGCTCTTCGGCTACGATAATTCGAGCAAGTTCCCATCGAAATTCATTAGCCCAACGGTTTTGTTCGTCAAGATTGTCTTCCGCTGAGATATAATTCTAAAGTTTGAAAAATCAATGACGTTTTGATTTAAAAAAACCTTGAAGAATCAAACCTCATAAGCTTGCTTCACATTAGCATGATCAGTTTTGACCAAGTTAAAAATCGATTTCAATGCGCTCATTTTAATACTTCTAGTAGTAAAACAAAATAGTAATTGATGTAGAAGACAGACTGCGCAAAAAAGACTATATAATTTCTTTCAAACAGAATAAGAATAAATATAATACAAATAGTGTTTTTTCTTTCGCCGTATTTTTACTCGTTCTATGCATGTAAAGAAGAAAAAAAAAATCTGATTGCAGAGTGCTTTTTTTTCTATATCATGGGTGAAACTCGAGACGAGTGTGCAAGAACGGCTTTTGTCTCACAAAGAATTAGTCATACATATTTTTTTTTCTAAAACACTGACACTTTTTATTGTATTAGATAGACGATCAAGGTCGTCAGATAAGTGTTGTAGTTTAGACTTTCAAAAAGAAAACTTCATCTTTGAGAAATCGTGGTTGCTTTTTTAGTGTTTTTTTACAACGTGTTTCTTTAGATCGATTTTAATTGACTAGAAAGACCCTATCGAACTGATTGAGAATGGCAATACTCTTCGTTGGTAAATGTTAGTTTTTCTTGTGGCTTTCCAACAACAAAGTGACCTTCATTAAATTGTTATCATGCTAAATATACATTCGAAACATGTTTACTCTTTTGTTCTTTTCTCTTGGTGCTAGGATGACGAGAGAGTACTCAATGAAATTGCGTAGTTGTCTTTTTCTTCTATCTCACTACCCTGAGAAAAGAACAGAAGGAAAAAAAAATGTTTTGCTGGTTCACGTGTGAGTCATTACATTCTACCATGTTGATCGTAGTCTGAAGAAGAAACTATTGTTGTTGAAACATCACAAGGAAAATTTAAGATTTTCTAAGAGAAGTGTATTACCATTTTCGATCAAACAGTGGCTCGTTGGATCGAGTTTGCGTCGATTTCGTGAACTGTTTTGTTTTACACTAGTATCGAGAAGATTATTGCCACTAGTTTGTAAAGATTTCTCCGACTAACTTTTTTTTGATGAATGCTAACAGTATTTCATTAAATATTAACTTCATTCTGATCTAATTATGGACGGTAAAGAAATTAGACGAATAAGAAACCAAATAGGTCGTTTTCGGAACTGGCCAATTTTCATTACTGCCTAAGAATTCGAATTGATTGTGCATTTTTGCTCTACTGAATTGAAAATTGATATGTTGAACATTGTTCCCATTGCTCAATGAAACTACATTCGATATCTCCATCATTCGAACAGCTTCTTAAGAGATGTGCAGAGCTCCCTTTCTTATAAAAAAAAATTTTTCGATCAACCAAAATTGTTTTAAAATATTTCTGATTTCAAAAATATCTAATAAATCGAATAAAGCAAAAACTATTCAATTATATTCAAAATGAATAGAGTAATTAGTGGTGGTTTGCGAATAATTGAATTTCTCCAAATTATGAGCGTTCCCATGTCGTTAAAATCACGAAAAAATCAGCGATTTTATCGCAATTTACGGGCCGATAAATCGTGCGATCTATCGCGATAAAATCGTTAAAATAGGCGAATATTTCGCCAGATTTTTTTAAAAGCTCCCCATGTCCTGAAAATCGCTGAAAAATTGGCGATTAATCGTACTATATCGAAACGATAATCGTGAGCTGAAACGCGATTAATCGCCGATTTTTAATGATATTTTTAGTGATTATTACGATAAATCGCGAGTTGTCTCCCGATTTTTTACATATTAACTATAGCTTTATCGCCAATCTGATCTGGTATTATCGCGATTTCAGAGAAATTTTCTTTATTTTTTTACCTCCATCTATTTTTTTAATTTATTTTTATTTAAAAAACATTTATCTTTTTGATCACACTTAAATTAAAAGTAAAAAAGAAAACGAAAAAAATTAGATGGTTACCTTTTCATTTTTCACATAATTCTCCCATAAAGTCCCACAAAAAAATAGAAAAAAAGGAANCACACCCGCACCCACCCCATCCCACACCCACACCCTTTTTATGCGCACGGTCTAATCGATGTTCATGTTGCATTAATCATATTAACAAGATATTTGAATCGTATGCTTTATCCAACAAAAATCTTTGATAACATGAGCAATAAATGATCTATACATCTGTGAAAATTCTTTTACGGTCTCAAACACTAGTTTGATAGTCGGACATCATATGAATTAGATTGAACGAAAAAGTTATTTAATCAAAATCGAAAACATCGTATATCAACTAACTAAAGGCAATCCAGCAATGACAGTACAACGTTCATTGACCATGATATGCACTTGATTCTTTGAACGGATTGTTTTATTCCAACATGATACGAGGAGTGCATTATAAAACTTGTGTTTAATGTTGGGCATGAAGAAAAGACAAATGTAAGGTAATGCCAGAGTCTGCAAATATGGAATAAAAGTGAAATATCTTGAGAGAAGATAGGCAAGTAGTTGATTATTGGCAAATAATTGAATAAGTGCAATCGTAGAGTATGGAATCCATCCAACCATATATAGCAAAGAGACTGAAAGTAGTTGCATGATCAACCTCAGTGTGCGCCGCTATAATATATACATATAGAATTTATTTCAGACAAAGTGAGATCTGTAAATATCGAGTCTATATACTTGTCTAGCGGAAATAGAACTATGAAATGTTCTAATTTTTTAAACATGTAAGACAGATAAAGATTTATATACGTTGAATTTATTTTCTGACGAAAATGGATCATTGTAGACATCCGAAATGTAGGAATCCTCCATTCTTTATTTATCTATGTCGTTGAATAACTATGTTCAATTTCAATTCCTCTAGTTTTTAGAACGCAAATTGCACTACGCGAAATTTTTCCAATTAAGATAGTGAGTGTTACAGAATCTAACTATTAACTATTGTAGATATATACGACAAGTGTCAGAGGAAAAAGCTCATCATCATTCTTACCCATTGTTGACTTCTGCTGGCCGTGATAATAGATCTTTTCATTCGGTGTCGTTGCATGACATTGCGAATGATCAGTATGAGATTAACGATGCATGTGAAGAATAACACACACAACATATTTCCAATTCGGTCGACCAGACCAAGACCCAATTTGTATTGATAGCATGCACCACCGCAAACATATCGATGCACGTCATAATCTGTCTCACATTTGTACACTACCACTGCGCTCAAATAGAATAGTGGACAGTACAAGAGAAGACATATGATGGGGACATAATGCAACAGCACATAATGTCCTAGAATGATCCGTTCATGATATATAAATAGATACCGTTCAACCGATGCCCACGCCATCAGGGTTATACTCAAAAGAAAAAGTGAGTAATTAATCACGATCCATCCTATGCATATACTTTCTCTAGGGACGAATCCATTGTGTAGATACATCAGTGTAATGGGAACTTCAGTAATGACGATCGAAGCGTTGGCCGTAAGAAGAGGAAAAAATATTCGACTGTGCAAATCACGCCGTTTAAAATGACGAAACCTGAAAATAAATAACTACTGTTAATATATTCTTTTTCAGAATATTTCTTTATCAACGTTTTTCAATTCAAACGAAAATAATATGATATGATATCAAAACCTTTTTTCCTTTCACCAACAGTTCTCATTTGCTATTAGAATCAGCGTAGAAACGCACTGTTCTATCTAAGCATTCGAAAAAATGTAAAAAACCCTTGTAAACGCATAAAAATGACACGTATGTACTTGTGAGTTTTTAGTAGCAATACACATGGTCACGCAAAATCTCAGCGTGCGACTACCTGCGAAGAAGGCGACGAAAAAACAAAAAGAAAATCATCAGCGGCGAGTTTTGGAATTGAAGATGAAAATATGCTCACAATAGATAGAACATACACGAACTTACTTTGATTCGAACCCGATATTTGATTCTAGAAGATGTATTGAGGCTCATTCTCAAAAGAGATACAATTTTTGTATAGAGAAAATTTTAATTTATTGACTCGATAACTGTTCGCTATTTATTCAGTTTGAATATGTCTGAGTGAATTTTTAGCTATTTCACTATCATTCAGCTATTTATTTATTAAGCATTGTTTAAGATTTTCATAGCTATTTAATGATTATCTTTAGCTATTTAAATATTGCAATTGATTTATATTGAACAAAGTTCAAAACGCGCAAAGTTTTGTATATACAGCCATTTAATAACTAGCATTATTTAAATAGTATTCATAGCTATTTAAATAATTGTCCGCTATTTACTTAATTTAATTGATTTTTTCACAAGCAAGAGTTTTAAAGTTCGAATACTTATTGATGAATAGCTAAGTAATGTCGATCACCATTTAGAGTTGTTTAGCACTAGTTAAACAATATTTACAGCTACTCAGTTATTAATCAGTTATGTATTCAGTTCAAATGATTTATTTTTTTCGAACAAGAATTTAGAGGTTTGAATCTTTGTTCATAAATAGTTATTAAATATGAACGACTATTTAATAATTTTCAGCACTAGTTAAATAATANGATTTGCTGAATATGGCTACATTCATCGATTATTTAATGATTCTAATAATACTCTTCAACCTGAATCACTAATATTAAGTAATGAATATATAACTTGTTTAACAGAACGATATTTTAATTATTTTCGTAAAAATCTTATTCAATCAATATTCATCAATTTGAAACGTTTTACATTAATCAATTGTTCTACAAGTGAAATTCAACAAATTGATAGAGACTATATCGATAATCTAACACAACTTGAATATTTTCATATTAATGTTCATAAATTTAACGAAGATCGAAGTAAGTTAATTTCATTATTCTTTGATTAATAAGTTAATGAAAATAAATAAGAAACTAAATAATTATCTTTTATCGATAGTTTTCGAAGAACCATGTGATGGATCGATTGGTCGAATATTATTTAACAAAAAGCTCTTATCATTACATACGATTAAGATTGAATTATTATATGGCCTTTCATTATATCACTCCTTAAGATCTCATGAAAATCTTCGTCATGTGGAAATTATTTTAAGAACAATCGACGATTTATATATATTACTCGATGGACTTATACCAAATGTTCAATCATTAATTGTTCATTTAACTCAAACACGTATTTTGAGTAAGTTTATTATTATTGAGACGCTTTAAAAATGATTCACTGACTAAGGATGAATAACTATACACTGTACATAACGGAATTCACTTCAATTAGGTGAAAAAAACAGAAGTACTACCCTTCAAATCTTGTAGATGTTTATTTATTTTTGTTCTGAAAAATATCAATCTTTGTCTATTGACTTAGTTTTGAATGAACTAGATCATAAATAGAGAACGTAGTCGTAGTTGCTAAAAGACAGTAGATGTTGTTAAGTGACTATGTCTATTGTGTTAATAAGTTTGACTTCTATTTCAATCGTCATCTGAAATAGTATGTCAATCTGTCATATACAACGAGTCAATTCGTCGCCGACTATTCAGTGATATTCTTTCTTTGTGTCTTTTTTCTTGTAATATACAGACAGTTGATGATATTGATCTAGCATGGCTTTAGAACGTTCATTATACGCTCTTTTTTTGTTGTTGTTTGAAGACACCTGCATATATAGTTGTAGGTATGTTGATTATGTGAAGGTTTTCTTTGACTAAGGAATCCGATATAGTATTCATTAACCAGAACTGAACAGTGTTTATTATATAGAAATATATTTTCATCGAAAATCTATCAGAGGGAATAAGATGTATGTTGAAATATAGCACATAATTATCCTTATTCGAAATCTGAGGAACCATCTTAACCGATTCTGAGCTTTTAATTTCTTCCTTTTACTATAAGTAGACTTTAGTTAGACTAAGAGAACTCAACAAAGTTTGGTATTTTTAGTTTATTGATCAGAAATTATGAACGAGTTATTAAGTTTTCGACATATTTGCATATGTTCACTGAAAAATCACACAACGAGATTTCGATCTGAAATTTTGTTCAAGGATAAATCTGACAAGCATTAAAATACTTCAAACATTTCAGCTACACCAAACATACTTTTATCGAGATATCGAATACTTATGTAAATTCGATCATTTCACCTATCCGTTGGACAAAATTTCAAATAGAAATCTAATAGTTTGACTTTTCAATAAATATCCAAAGATAAGTCGAAAAATCTTCCTATTATCAAAAGTTAAAGCTGAAAACTGAGAATCATACAAACTTAGAATAAGATAACTTTTTTTCGATGAAAGTTTTTGTTTATATCATGTCTATCGATTAAAATAAATATTCTTATTGAAATTGAAAACTTAATATTTACATTTCCATAATAAAGTGTTTCGATTCAATAAGGAATCGTTCGTACTCCTATTAGAATTCAATTATGAATCCAACTGATGAAAGAATATGTGTAAGTTTGTCAATAGGTTAGATTGATTACTTTGATACGTGAACTTTTCTATTCTTTAATTCAAAGATATTTATATTTATGAAATTGAGTTTCTCTTTCTTTTTCAGTATGTCTTCATTCACCAAGTAAATTATCATGTCCTCAACTAACTGAATTTGCTCTATTCGAATCTTGTGTTGGATCAGTTATTGATAATCTTAAATGTATTTTTATTTCAATGTCAAATATAATTAAATTAACATTAAGTATTCGTGATACATTTGATTCACAATTTTGTCATGGTCCTACAATGGAATTGATATTA